ACCCCGCCCCCCGGCTCTCTAGTCTCTGCGATCAGAGGGCGGCGGTCGGGTCTGCAGCTCATCCAGGTGAACGCATCCTTAGCGGAACCCGGCCGAGCTGGCGCCCAGGAAGGACACCCAGCTAGAGGTGACTCCCAGGTCCCCAGCTCTGTGCCTTAGGTCCTCGGATGAGAAGTAGGAACTGACCCCTCCGTCGCTTCGTGCGTGTTCTTCAGCTTTCACCACGACGTGGCCAGAGATGAGGAAATGGCCCAACAGTGCTCGTCCGGCCTTGGAGGAGGATGGGACGGTGGGGACCACGCCGGGTGCTGGCTAGCGCTACGGAGGAGCGGGGAGGGCCGGGAGGTGGGCTGGGGTCCCACGTTCGGCCCTGTGCCCAGTGCGTCCAGTGGGCACGCCTGAGAGAGGGACTGACCTGGAGAGGTCCGCGATGGGAAGGAAATATGCAGAAAGGACGAAGAGGCCGGTTGGGTTAGAAAAGTTTACACCAGTGGGAGAGGAGAAAACTGAAAAGGGAATTGGGGGTCAGGTTGTTAAAAGATCTTTACGAGATAGGACACAGAGATCTTTCTGGTGCCAGGGGTCACCCAGGACCTGCAACACACTAGGCAAATCGCCTCACACTGAGTAAGGAGACTGGGGATTGAACCCGGGGCCTTCACATTCACACTGAATTACATCCCCAGCCCATTTTTAAATTTTGAGGCAGGGTCTCATTGTCTTGTGCGGTCAAAGCTGAACTTGCAGCCCTCCTGCCTCAGCCTCCCAGAGTAGGGTTACAGGTGTATTATATTTTGGGCTAGAAATATAGCTCAGTGATAAAGTACTTGCTTAGCAAGTACCAGGCCCTGGGTTCAGTCACCCAGCAAAATATGTGTTTCTGTTAGATAGCGCTGCTCTGCTTAACCCTTTGTCACTGATGGTGGGGCTTGTCCAGCTGAGGTTCCGAAAATGATGGGATCATCAGATTTTTGCTCTGGCAGACACAGACACACACACACACACACACCACACACAGACACACACACTGCACAGACACACACACCACACACACACACAGACACACACCACACACACACACACAGACACACACCGCACAGACACACACACACAGACACCACACACAGACACACACCACACAGACACACACACATACACACCACACAGACACACACCACACAGACACGCACACACCACACAGACACACACACACAAACACACAACACACACATTCTCCTAATATCCACCTTCCCTGGTGGCTGCTCACCTGAAAGAGAAACTCTCAATCCTGGGTCCTGACGAAAAGACGTGAGAAATCGGTCTGGGGTTGAATCTCTGTGGCCAGGAGAAAACATGAGTCTGTGCTCCGTGACTGGAGATTGCCAAGGCAATATCAGAACCAACTCATGATGGGAGACAGGAAAGAAAGGAAAGGGGGCAACGGAGCAGTGGGTGTATTCACTTTCTGCTGAAGTGTGCTGTACACTTACCATTCTGGCTAAAGAACACCTCCTTTGTTGGCAGAAGCGTGAAAGACAGGGGAATCGCTTCCCTGTTTTATTTTGGAGTCTAAGATGACCTATGTCCTCAGGGAATTCACAGCCTCTTAGAGGAGATACAAATCAAGTGAGTGGTAGAGGCCAGGGTGTACATGCAGCAGAAGAGCTTACAGATAATGTCACGAGAGGCCTTAGAAGGGCCCCCCATGCCTGCAGGCTGGGAGTGGGCAGGAGACCAGGAGTCACCTCCTGGGACGAGGCCTTGGATGGGCCACGTTATGGAGGAAGTAGAAGGGAGGCAGGCATGGTGGCCCAGGCCTATAATCTCAGCTCTCCAGGGGCTGGGGAAGGACGATTTAAATTCAGGCCTGTCTAGACCGTGTAGGGAGCCCTGGGCGCAAAACAAAACCAAAGAACACAAAAGAGAAGAAGTAGTAGGCATGTGGGGGAACCCTTTCTTGTGCCCATTAATTTCAGGCCCTGTCTGCACTGTATTTCTGTTGTGGGACCTTTGGATGTAAGTTCATACATACAGTATGCTGGAGACTTAGGAGAGTCCATACCAAATTGCTTTCCAGAAAGCTTATATCCGTTTGCAGGGTCACCATCCCACAGCTAATGGCATAATTAGCCTACCTTTTCCCATGAGGCTCTGGCTATTAGATAGTGGTACAGAACCACACACAGTGCCAGGCTTCAGTGCCCTGCCCAGATGGCTGCCTACCTGCTAGATAAGCTCTGAAAGTCTTCAGTCGTGAACCGGTAATGTGAGGAATGCTTCTGAGTTGTGAGTCTCCTCGATGAAGAGAACACGTGTGTGCTCTGTGACTGTTGGTTACTATGGCAGTGTTGGAACCCGGGTAGAATGGAAGATGGGAAAGAGGAAAAGGGCAGAAGACTGCAGGATTAATTCCTGTGTGTTCAAATCACTGTGTGCACAGACATGCAGGATAAAGACTATTTCTCTTGTTGGCAGAAGCATGAATTTCATGGCGTGGCTTCTTTTCATTGTGACACCTAAGACAGTCTATGTCCCAGGGAATTTAGAGGTCCTTTGAAGAGCTAACACTCAAGAGACTAGTAGAGGACGGGGTGTAAGTGTAGCAGAACTCACTAATAATGTCCCGAGAGGACGTAATGGGGACTTCTCGTGCCTGGGAGTGGAGAGCAGAGCAGGGCTAACCTGGGAGACGCCTTCCGATGTGAAAGCTTGTGGAGGAAGTAGTAGAGATACAGACACAGGGGCACACACCTATGATCTCACCACTTGGGAGGCTGAGGAAGGAGACTGCGAGTTCCAGGCCCACCTGGTCTACAGAGAAAGACCTGGCCTCGAGGGGAAACAGCAGAGGTTGCAGGTGATGTAGAAGAAATAGAACTGCCAACCTGTTAGATATCAGATATCCTGAGTTTGTGTCCCCCGAAATTGAAGAAATAATTTCAAAGAACAGAGAAGGTTAAAAATAGGAGGCTTATTGAGAGATCTCCAGTGGGTGGCCATTCAGGCCTTTTGTCATGGGAAATGCATACAGCAAAGTCACAGTGTGGGTACGACATGGGTCGAACTGTAATCAACCTGTATGATTAAAGTATAGCTACTTAGCTCATATTGATCTAATAGGAAACAAGTCATATTCGTGCCAGGTGTAGTCCCTAAATTGCCCAGGCTGGGCCTAAGCTTGTGGTCCTCCTACCTCAGCTTCCCAGATTACTAA